TTGCACCTGAAAAAAGAATGTCTTATTTATTTCTATTTAGTTGCTATTTCGTATAACGTGTGTCAATATCGTTATATTCTAAATTGTAATATCGAAACAACACAATATATCAATGATTTAATGTTAGGTACACCGTTATATCAAATCTTGTAACTTAATTTTTAATTTTTTGATATTGTTTTAAAGTTTATTTCTAAAAAAAAAAAGGCATTTTTGGGTTTCACTGTACATCTTGAAAATGTGTAAAACATGTAGATTTTTATTGACCACTATAATCAAATTTTTCCAATTTAATTGTCTTTATATGATTGCTAGAATAGCGTATCTACCATTAAATCTTCAATATGATGTGTCATTTCAATATTAATAATTTTTTTTACTTGATTTACACAATTACTGATACCTTAATTTACTTCAAATTTGGTGTTTTATCTCTTGCCATCGATTTTTGTAGGTCTAACACCCTTTGTCATTATTTTCCCAGGAGCTGTTTAATGTTTCATTTTGAATGATACATGTTTCATCAATGACAACGAACTGCTTCTGTTGTAATTCTATAATTTCTTAAAAACTGACCTATTTACAGTTCACGTCTTGGTTATCTTTTTCCTTCGTTCTTTTAATACAGTTGACAATGATGCAATATAGCCACTAAACATTTGTCTCTCAATCAACTTTTCTCTTTAAGGTTCCAAAGTTATATGATGACCTGCAAATAAGTATGTATTTATATTACTGTATACAAATTAAAACTTTTATAGGTAATATAAATAAATTATGATTGAATAAATAGATTTGTCTTTATACTTACTTGTTTCATACATATTATAAATACCACTTCGGATTCCACTTGTATCCAGCGTTATTGTATTAGTAGGTAATCCTTTGTTTATATGAATGTTTTTTGATTAGCGATTTTAATCATTCATTATTCTTGACTGCTTGCGAAATACTACTGACAGTAGAAATATTTTTATTTAGAGATGCTGCAACACACTAAAAAAGACAAGAAAATAATTTCATATTTCTATTAAATTTTATAACTTGTAACTTACCTCTCTTACAGCAGTTAAAGGTAAACGTGGTCCATCATTATCACACTCTCGTTCAAAATAATGGATTAAAGAAGATATCAACTCCTTACAAGGACTATTTAGTTTTTTAGGCATTTTGTATATAAAAATTAAAGGACAAATAATCAGCTTATTCACTCTATGGTTGTTTTGAAAAACAGTTTTTTATAAGTATAACCGGCAAAGCTTAAAAATACAGGCAAAAGGATTTTAAATTACAGAAAACAAAATGCACAATCAATACTTAACTCAACATAAACATAACCTAACTAAATCAGTGAAATTTGTTAAAAAGGGGTTGCAACTTGCAACACCGCAACAAGGTGTACCAATTGCTGTAATGACATTTCTTCTCTATAAATACGAGCTTCATGGGCGTACAGAATGTCAAAATTATTTATTGTAAAGTATTACTTTTTGAGTACTAAACATTTAATAATGTTTTTATAAATTTTATATTATCAAGAATTAGACATGTATAAACTAAATAATTTAAATAATTCTAAAATTATCAAAATAATCACCATAACAATTTTCGACTTTTTAGTAATATGACTACGTTCATGAATGCTCGTGACTATACGTGACTTTTTCGGATTATTAGCTTAGTTAGGGACAATTTATTTAGTTGGTAGTACTATGACGAATGACCGACGTCATTGCTGACGTGCATCGGGATTTGTATTAAAAATACTATAGTCGACCCCTGTATATGCTTCGATTCGACCACATAGTTGGAAGCTGGAACTATTTGATATATTCCCTTCTCCACCAATCCCCTCATCCCAACACTTTGCTTTAGTCATTTCATAGCATACTTGTTGCAACTTAAAGGGGACTTTAGAAATATTGGGTGGGTCTGGGACTTATTTACTTCGACGAGGCATCATATAATTAAAATCGAACTTTACTTCAGGTAAGTTCGTTTGATCTCATAACTATATTTCTGCCTTGTCTCGTAAATAAGACATATTGTCGCTGTTTAAAGCATGTTGCAACAAAAATTATGATAAAACATTTTATTTATATTTAACTGATTACAAGTTAAAAAATTATATTGTCATAATTGACCCACTTTCAAGAAAACTTGTAGAGATATGTCGTGCTCTAATAGGAAAATTGCTCCATATCAGATACTCAAAATGAACTTCATCCATCAGCTGATGGTCTGCACAGAGGCAGTTTCTTAATTATAATGAACAGAGGCTACCACAATTACCCCTTAGGTCTTAATTTTTTTCTGTAAACTTTAACAAGGTTGTTGCTATGCAAATACCTGGGTTTTTATAAATGAAAACGAAAGGTTTTAACATGGGATAAACTCTATTGTTAGCTGATTACTTTTTTCGTTACCTTTATCTGAATTTCTTGTTCTCTTCTGACAATTCTGTATCTCTATGGCTATACAATTTTAATGTGCTAACCAATATATAAGACCAGTAACACTGCTAATTTATCGGTAAGGTTTCGTCACTATATTTATGTCCCACGTATTTTCTTATTTAAGCACATCTGGCCTTAAACCTAAAAAATTTCTAAAAAATCTTTTTACCCGAAAATATTGTGCCATTTCAGGTTCAGGTATTTGCTCTATATCTAATCTGTAACAGTTTAGTAAATTATATGATGAATCACTATAAAATTGTCTTGTTAAATATTCTAACATGGACTTAATAACGCAGAAAATTCCACTATAATTTTAATCGGGAGTTATATTTTTTTGGCGTAGTATCCGATATCCATAAGAGTTTACAGAATAATATCCCTGGCACCAGGGAAATTATTCCTGAGAAAGGATGGGTTATCCTATCAAAAGAAAGTAAGTCCTGAATATCAATGTCTGATCTACTCATAGCAATAAAAATAACGGTCCATTGCATGAAACATGGCAGATATTACTTTATGAACTTGTTTTTTGAAATGTTTTGTTCTAATGAAACATTTTTAATTTAAGAAAAAACGGCTCGACCTGTCTAAAAAACCTTTTGAAAATGAATTGGCCCTCACATGGCTCTGCTTTTTGGACAGCACCTATCTTTAAACGTTTACAACACATTTTTTATAATATTAAGCTCGAAAGCCGGCCATTTAGATTGTGTAGGTATAATCGTCTGTCTTTGCCTCCTTATAAACGGTAAATAATAGCTACTAAGCCAAGACGAATCTTAAATTCTATCCGATGTAGGAATCGGAATATAGATCAATATACGTAATGAGAAGCTGATGTCACAATCAGATTAAAATGAGAATGTAACTCATGATTATCCGATGAAGCAGTCAAGGATGTAAACTTACTATGGATCTCATAAATATATATAAAAAATATTTTCGATGTCTTAGTCGAGATGTATCTTAATATAAATAGTGATGTCATGATCGGACTGTAACTTGATGACGAATTATAGGTTGTATAGGTACTTGCTTTTTATTCTATAAATATACATAAATTATATCCGATATCTTAATCGGAAAATAGCTCAAAATAAATATTAAATATCTGATTTCACAATGAAATTAAAATGAGGAAGTTATAATTTCAATTCCTACTGTTATCACAAACAGTAAACGATATAAATTTATTGTCAATTACAGTGTGTCTAATGATGTCATTAATCATTCAATTATTCAATAAAGGACAAAATTAAAACTGTCATCGGAAAACAATATTGTTATACCTATAAGCAACAGTAGTATAAATATTATCTACTGCAAAAAATAAATATTTCAAGTACTAGATATCAAGTTTCAATGTATATCTATTTTCATTTAAAATTTCTTTACCTTAAGCCTATAAAAAAAGGCCAATAATAACTACTTTCACAAAGAAATTACTACACACTATAATTTAAAATGGTAAAGAAAAAACGAACTTTTACCAGTAGGTATCAAAAAATACTAAAAATTTTCGTTTAATACCTAATTACAAATAAAATACGTATTAATTTTCGGCATTAAGGCAATTATTTACTGTTTTCAATGACACAATAACTTTATTGTTGATATGACGGGAGAGTTGCTTAATAAAACAAAAACTTTGTAGATTCAATTGGAGAATTTCTGGCTAAACCATTTATACAACACGTTCTAAACGCGAACTGCTATATCGTCTTTTTTTTGAATGATTATTATGAGGTTTAGTCATCGGTATACTTTGTTTTTGAATTTACTAGGAAATATAATATAGATGTGATCTTTACGGCACATAAACAAAGACTGGAGCAAAGTGTTGGGATGAGGGGATTGGTGGAGAAGGGAATATATCAAATAGTTCCAGCTTTCAACTATGTGGACGAATCGAAGCATATACAGTGGTCGACTATATATCTTATTTACGAGACGAGGCAGAAATATAATTAATGTATTTATAAAATAAAAATTGGTGAAGATTCCATATATTTACATGACAAATTAACCTAGAACTTTATATATCATAATTATAATACAAGAAATCATACTAAATACCAATTTGTCAAGATAGTAATGTAAATGCACAAAATATAATTTTTATTAAATGATAATGGGTTACCTGTAGAGATAAAGAATGCTACTTCCTTAAATATTTTTATGAAGAAATTAAAATGCCACATTTTTAACATAAAATATGAGTTCTAAAGAATGAGCAATGAATTTATTGAACCTGCTAATACCTAATATATTATTTTTCAGTCATATAATTATTGTACTGTTCGTTTAATTGGATATTTATGTATTTCAGAAATATTTTTTTATTTATTTTGTAATATTGTATTTTATTGATTAGTTGTTTTTTGTCTAAATTATTATGGAATATGGATTAACATATTATTATTTAAAAGTATATTTCTTCCTTAGAAACAGATTTTAAAGCCATAGATTGTAGTATAAAATTTGAATAATTATTTTATTTTTGTTAAAAGGTTCTTTTTATGAAATTATTTTTATTTTTAGTAAAAGTTATTACGGTTCTTGGAAAAGAAAGAGCTTTGGAAATATTTGAGGAAACAAAAAATATAGAAGCAGAAGGTGGAATGTTAATAATGGTAAGATTTACTATGTAAAAAATAGCATATTAAATTTTTAATTAAAATTATGTCATTCTATCCAATTTTGGACTGAATTGTAAGAGGGAGTTTTAACCTCAGATGAAATGTTAGATTAGTAACTGCCAAGATTTGTTTGGTTGCATTATGTTCCCCTTCCATTACAGTTTTGCTTGGATACTTTGGCGAATTTCAAATTAGGTGCCCGAATTGACAATTGGATCCCGTCATTCCATTGGCAATTTTCAATTTAAGGGCCGCAATTATTCTTGCTGACCAGTTGTATTCCAGATCTATTAGAGAAAGATTGAAAACCATATACAAAACGTGTCCAAACAGTGTCGTCTCTTTAGGTAGTTCAGGGTGCGTAAGCTTTGTGTGGATTTTGTTGTGTTGTGGAAATTTTGTAGTAGATATTTATATTTTTTTTGTTGTAAAATATTTAGAAAAATGGTTGTTAAATATGTTGTTTGTAATAGAAAGTATTTTAAAGGCAGTCATGTAACTTTTCACAGGTAGGTAAAAAGTGCTTAAATATTATTAGATTTTTTAAAAAAACTGGTTCATTTTTTGCCGTTCATACTATACAGGGTGTTCAAATTAAAGTGTTACAGCTATATACCGCCTTTTATAAAAAACAACGTTTCAGACGAAAGTTTTATAGTTTTGAGGGGAAAAAATTTTGGCTAAAATCATTTTTTATAGCTAACCATAATATGGCCAACTTTTTTTTCGCCCAGCAAAATTTTTAAGTAGCTGTTACTCAAAAAGTAAAAGTCCAATAAAAAAATATTATCATCAAAAGTTTCTTATTTTTTTATGTACTTTAAGAATATGTAAAAAAAAGTGGGATTCCCATTTAAAAAAACAAAGTCCACCTCGATATGGCCATATTATGGTCAGCTGTAAAAAAATAAATTTAGCCAAAATGTTTCCCCAAAAAAATATAAAACTTTTTTTCTAAAATGCATATTTTCGGCGGTATTTAACTGTAATACTTTAATTTGAACACCCGGTATATTAATATGGTTTATACTGTGTATGTATCCTTTTTAAATCTTAATTTATTATTATGTTTAGATTTTCTGGAAATCCTGAATAAAAAACCTTTGGGGGAATATCACTATAGATAGGGGTTAATAATAGAATTTACTTTATACATTTTAGAAAAACTGAATTTACTTTTTCTCCCGCTGGTAGAGTATTTTTGAAAAAGGGAGCTAAACCTACTTTTAGTGACCGAAAGGAGAATGATAATGATTATTTATTAGATCCTCAACCTCGCTCATCAGAAAAGGTACTTAATTATTTATTAACGTAGCACTTACAGAAAATAATTTCTAAATAATAAAGTATATCTAACCTAACACAAATAACAAGTGCGGCAAAAAATATAAAATATTAAAAAAAGGAAAAACACTACAACACCACGAGTTGCAAGTCTATTTTTAGTGCTATAATATTAAAATTAAACGCACTTTGTCCGTAATTGTCTTTTTACATTCAAAATTGATGTCTGCTGAGTCCGTCGGACAGGAATCAATACTTTGAACTCTTTTAAGTAGTGATAGAACCACCTATTACTTTAGTCAGGAGTAGGAGTAAAGCCTGCTTTCTTCTACATTTGCTTTCTTCTGTGTTCCAGGCTCTGCTTGCCACAAAGCAATAATCTTGTTTAATAACATGTGTTATGGCTATTAATTCGTTGTTTAAATAACAGTTATTTTACGAATTTATGCTACGCCCTTTTAATTCTATTTATATAATAGGTGTAAGTAGGTTGCCAAATAACAGTATTCCAGGTCATTTCTCACCAGGCCATTGTAAAGTGTCATGATTGCTTTTGTATTATTCACGTACCTCAAGTATGTCTCTTGATGAAGCCAAGCATTCTAAGGGCTTTGCATGTGGTTGTTAAAAGATATTGTGGTAATAAAAATAAGGCCTATCAAGGAACTATCTACCTAGATGCTGTTAATACTGTAACAGTAGGATTATGGGATCATGTAAAATACATGGTCTGCACTTACAAACATTTATAGAAAGAGCATTATTTTTAGACCAGATAACACACTTATTTAGGTCAGACTAAGGCGGAGTTATTGTCGCTGTCAGGCCCATCAGAGAGGTGGCAAGGGGGGCAAAATCCCCAGGGTTCGGGCTCAAGGGGGGCCCGTCACCTTTAAATAATTGGTTATATGTGGGGGGGTGGGCCCTTGCCAGAGGTTTTCCCCGGGGTCCCACTATGGCTTTTGGCGGCCTTGGCCACCGTTTCTACTAAAAAACTTTAAATCATTCGCGAGATTTTTGTGGTAAAATTCATAAAGTTGCAGAGATTTGCGATAGTCACAAACATTCAAAAACATTTCACAACTTATCGGCCATTAATAAAAAACATCGCACCATAATACCTTACGTCACGTTGTATTGATTAGTAGTTCATAAAATAGTAGTATTATATCTTCGATCCATTTAAAATATCTATCGTGTATATTGTAGACAAATTTGTATTATATTTAAATAAAGACCTAAGAAAGGGTATTTTTATTTATTTTAAACCAACAAATATATGCCTATATATTTTATAATAATGAAAATACCCAAATTAAAATTTTTTAAATAATACTAATGGTAGGATTCTGGGAAATATCCTATACACTACAAAATCTGTAAGATGGTAATGTAATGTATTTTTTTACAGATTTTGGCCTATTCTCGAATGTCGTATTTCTAAATGCCACACGCGACATTGATGAAATGTCGAATAAGAACGCAAAAACGTATTCTGGAATGGCGAATTCGACATTTGTTGTTAGACATAAAGTCGAGTGGTATACAACCAGTCGACATTGTAATGTCGCATGCCTTTTAAATATGATGTTATAATATGAGTGTCGTGACAGTGACAGTTTATATTTATTTTTAAGAAAAATTAAAATAAGTATTGTACAAATTGATTTTAAAAATATATGAAATGGTTATTTACAATTTCACATAATTTATCAATTATTAGTCCTGTCCAGTGTCGGATTGGGCCGTTGGTCTACAGGCAAAAGACCGGTAGGCCTTCGTTCAAGCTGTGAGCCCTCTTTCAGGCAGTGGGCCCTCGTTTGGGCAGTGGGTCCTCGTTTGGGCACTGGGTCCTCGTTTGGGCACTGGGCCTCATTCAGTGGGCCTAAGTTAGTGGACCTCAGTCTGTGTGCCCTTGAGAATAAGAAATGCGAAATAACCCTTGAAAAAATCATCAATGTGCAAAGAAGGCCTTTTTGCTCTTCAAGAAATCGGCCCATGAAAAAATATTGATAGGTGGGCCTTCTCCGTTCTGACCGGTAGGCACTGGTAGTCCCGATCCGACACTGCTCCTGTTTGTCCAAGAGATTTAAAACCTGTCATTAAGAAATTTATATAGCTCTATTTTTTCAAATTGCAGGTAAAAAGATTATATCACAGACATTTTATGTAATGTTTAGATTGTATTACAATAATATATTTCTTCTTCTTTCTGTTTAATCTCTTAAAATTGCACTTCCAATTTTCTATTTAATCCCTCATGAAATTTCAGTTAAAAAGATTATATTTACATTTTCTCTACTTTCTAATTAGTATTTATTAAAAAGATATATTCTGTATGTATTTTCAATATTATTTTGTATTACTAAGAGATTCTTCAAGTAATTGTCTGCTGTAATATACTCGTATTGTATGTTTCTATCCAATGTTGTCAGATGTTACCATTCGCCAAATATGTCACCGATTTTAAAATGTCTATTTGTCTTTGAGAATACGGATAGTGTCAGTCGATCGACATTTTGATAGACATTAGTAGTAGACATTATGACGAATGCGACATTTTTAATAGACATTCGAGAATAGGGCCCCAGATCTTATATATTGTCTCAAAATCGACCCAAAAAACACAATAATATTCCTATCATATTAAAATAAATTTATGAGACGCCTATGTGATCTAAACAACCTCCCTCTCACCTCGCCTATCCTTCGGTTTGTTAGTGTTCCGACAAAACAAACCCTGTGCTAAAAGATTATATTTACTTATCAAGATAGTTTACTTATTCATCTGAGGTTTTAACTTACAATGCGAGTGACGTTTATGTTAAGGTTAAATTATATAAAATTATTAATTTACATAATCACAACTATTATTTTTTAAATAATAAAAAAAAACTCAATTTTAGAATAAAACAAGAAGACGAACACCTGGTGGTGTATTTCTAAATTTAGTTAGACAAGATTACCATATAACATTTGATCAAAGAAATGAAATATTTGGAGAGGAGAGGCAGAAGCTTAAACAAATGGTTAAGCAGAAACAAAAAGAAAAAACAAAACAGACACAAAAAAAAGTTGGTAAGTATTACTTAATAATAGGCGCCAATAAATATCCCCAAGGCATGCGTTTTAACATGGGCAATCAGCAAAGCAAATTAGTGACTGTCATTGGCTATTTGTTTTTGTTCTGCTGGTTCTATCATTTGAAATGAAGGAAAGATGTCCATGCTCTGAGCTCTTACAATAAACTTTTTAAATATAAGGTATTTTCAGCTTTTGCAAAATAATTTTTTTTTAAGTATCTACCAATGTTTATAACTTAAATTGACTACGATCATAATTTACATTTAGTTATGGAATTTTATAAAATCGCTTCATTTATGTCGAGATTTTAAAATTTCATTTAATTTATAATAATCGAGTTATTTGTTTTCTTAAAAAAAGTATCTAAAAAAATGTCCAGATTTGGTATTCTTCACAATTTAGGAGCTTGATTGATGATCAAAAGGTTAAATTTATACGATTAACAAATCAAATCTAAACTTAACGGTGGATTTATAACCTACGTTCAGTTCACGCTCAGTTCGTGTTCAACATAAACAGATTAGAATGACATGGTAAGTATGTTTTGGATAAGAAATTATAACGGATTCATAATTATTTTATAACCAACACCATCTACAAATATAATTAAAACAAAAATTTCAACAAAATATAATTTTATTTTGTGGAATTTGTGGTTATGTCATGCCAACTCGAACTGAGCGTGAACTGACCGTAGTTTATGAATCCACCCTAATGATTCCTCATACTACATCCCAATTTCGACCATTTATGAAATATTGTTCTGACATTGTTCCTCTCACCCTACTGAGCATTGTTCCTCTCACCCTACTGAGCATTGTTCCTCTCACCCTACTGAGGAAGGAGTTGCAGCTTCATACTGTCTCGCCCTATCTTCGCTATTTTTAATAAATCAATCGACACAGGAAAATTTGGAAACTTTTTTATATCATCCCGCAAAGGTTTCAAAAACAAAACTAACTAAGCTCAAATTGGTTAACTGGAACCTAATTTTACAACACTTAAATTTGCAACTATGTACGAGACGAACCTGCAAAGAAAATTGGTCAAGATTCTATGGGTATGCAATTTAGACCTTTGTAAATCAACTGCAATAACGGCTTAAAAACAAAAATGTTTTTCTGAGCTTCAAGGAAATTTTTTATTTTTTTCGTCAATAGATTCCAGTTACCCAGGAATTTGAGGTAACTGGAACTAGGTAGTGTAATTCTGTATTTGTACAATGTAGAAAACTTTGAGGTTACTGGAACGTTTCGTAAAGCATCACAAATACTCATTTAAAATTTCATTAATTTGTCTTAAAAAAAGGCCGAGAAAATGAAGATGTTAAAAATCCTCTAAGTATTGAAGAAAAAACGCTTTATTCAAAATAAGTACTTAAGGTGATTACAGCACCCCTTATAATTTTCGAACAAGCATATCCCAAAAAGTAATTTTTTTAAAATATTAAAATTTTGGCAAAATCAATGAGGCAATAATATCTAAAATATGCACATATTTTAAAGTTTTAGTTCTTTCCAGTATCCAAGAAAAAAAAAATAAAAGGGCTTTAAATTTTGAAATATAATGCAAATAAATGCATTCCTCAACAGCACTATTCTTAATATAATCCCTAAATTAAGGCTCTTAATCTCTTGTTAATCATTTTTTAAAATTCGCTGAAATTAGTGGCTAAAACGCCCCGTTAAGTGCTATTTTCTGGTTTAAACTGGTGTAAATCATTGCAAGAAACGAATGATGACTCAGAGTGTACGATACAATAGTTACAGTCGCGTTACACCAGAAAGCAGCACTTAACGAGGCGTTTTAGCCACTAATTTCGGCGAATTTTAAAGAATCATTAACAAGATATTAAAAGGGGATTATATTAATAATACTGCTGTAGAGAATTGCATTTATTTTCATTATGATATTTCAAAATTTAAAGTCCATTGATTTTTTTTTCTTGCAAACTGAAAATAATTAAAACTTTAAAATATAAGCATATTCTAGATATTATTGCCTAATTTATTTTGCCAAAATTTTAACTTAAAAAAAAAATACTTTTTGAGATATGCTTATCCGAAAATTATAAGGGGGTGCTGTACTCACCTTAAACAACAAATGAAACAACTAAACTAAAGTGGTGTATGAACTTATGTAAAGTATTTAATGATATTTTTTCATTTCAGGACCATATATGATCGCCTATTATTATTTTGTTGGGGCTCATGGATAACTTTTACTATGTCTATTTCGTCATATGCTAAGATATCGGACTTTTCAGGCCAACGGGGATACATTTCCATATTAAACCTAACAAGCACAAAATCACCCTCCACGACAGCCACGACATTTTCTGCATCCTCATCCGACATCAGTTCTATACAATCTTCTGAATCATCTTCACTACTTTCGATCTCACTTTTAGTGTTCTTCGATTTTATATTTTTTTGATATTTATTTGGAGTTTTTTCTCTTTCGAAGGATCTATGTTTTGGATAGAGTTCACTTTTTGAGCTATTTTCTTAGACTTTGTTTCTGCTCAGGCTTTCTTTTTCTCATCTTCTCGTTTTTTTATTTTCCTCTTCTACTTTCTTTTTCTGTAAGTAGTCTGATGTTATAATTTCTCCCTCATTGCAGATCTTTCTTCTCTTTTGTGGTGTCGGAGATTCCGATTTTAATTTTTTAGTAGTTCAACCACCAGACTTTCAAAGAGATTCAGACAAATATTGCTTTGGGTGTTTGAAGGTCCAGTTTTGTCTTCAGGCATCAACTCCTTTTTACCTTGTTGCTCATTCACTATATTTGTTTGCTGTTCTTTGTTAACTAAATCTTCCATTTGATGAATTGTTCCTTTTTCTTAGTTTTCATTAATTTATTGCTCTTTCGTTCCAATAATCACCTCGTTTTGTTTACCATGGTGGTTATATTTTACAAGATCTTGCTGTGAAAATATTGTTTCAGGAACTTTTGTTAGATCTGGTTTACCTGTATCTAAATTATAGATACCTGTTGCTTGAAACCCATTTATAATGTTCTGTTTAGGCATTTCCAAAAATTCCTTGTCAAGAATATGCGTAAATTCAGTTTTCGGAAATTTTCTTCTTAGGTTGAGCCTTTGCCATTTACAAAGATTTTTATCCCATGTCGCTTTCATGCTCTTAAATACACCAACATTGAGTGGCTGAAGCAGATGGGTTGTATGTGGTGGTAATTTTAAAATACATATATCATCATCAAGGGCTTCTTGGATCACATTACACGAAATATGGATTGTATGTCCATCTAAAATTAAAAGGATCGGACATTCCTTTGGTACGTGAAGTAAAAAATATTTTCTAAACTAATTCGCAAATATTATGGTCGTCATCCATCCCTTATCCCAAGCGGCTATAGCAATTCTATCTAGTGGTTCAGGTTTTTCAGGTAACATCGACTAGATAACATTTTTTCCCTGGAAAATAGTTATCAAAGGCAATTTCTGGCCTGATGCTGAATAACATACTAACACTGTGGTATTTTCTCTGCCGCATGTAGATCTTGTAGCTTTTGTATCCACTGCCCCAAGAACTTCTGTTTTTGAAGGGTCACTGGAGAAGGATGTTTCGTCGCAGGTGAATACTTGTTCAGGTCGATTCTGTAACTTTAAGTTTAAAATTGTTTCTTCTAGAAGATCAAAGAAACCGTACATTGTCCAAGGGTTTTCTTGCCTTTTTCTAGCCACCTCTACTCCCTGAGCTTTTTTGAGAGATAGCTTATTTCTTTCACAAAAATTCAAGAACCATTGTTCTCCGGGACGATTATTTTTGAATTTTGTAATATTTCAATTTCTGTTCTTCAAATATAACTGTCTCTTGGCGTGAAAGCTCATATCCCCACTTTTGCATTGTATTTAAAGTAGAAACTAGTTGCTCTTCCGCTTCTTTAGTTAAAGCATCTTTTCCTCCTCCTCCGTGTCCTTCTTTAGCCAAAATACCAGTTCCTCTTGTACCTTTAATATAAGGTAAGGTTGACTTGGGAATGTTATAAAATTTTGCTGCGGCGTACATGGATTTATTACTATTTTTAACGTCCTCGGTAGCATGAATAAGAGCTTCTCGGGAATATCGTTCACCATCTGCCCCTTTTTGGATACGACGCTGGTAATTACGCACCATTATGTTCTGAAAATTTTAGTACTGTCACTGGATAAAATAGAAGATAAACGTTAAAATATCAAACTAACAGTTACAATACAACTGTATTGGGTAACTGAAACCTACAGACCCAGTTACCCGAAAACTTAAGTTCCAGTTGCCTCATCATATCGAATTTATCAAGGCAACTGTAACCTATACAGTCAAACTTGTTTTCATTAATATAACCTTAAAATGTTAAAATGAATTACACACTATAGATGCGTTTTCTTATACCAGGCCGATTTTCATGTTAAAAAATGTATTATTGTACTTACTGCGATTTTTTTAATACGTAAGTGCCCAACGTTGTTATTCTTCTACCAAAACGAACATGAATATTTTTGTTACGATACTCACAGCAAGAACTTAAAAACTAGATGTAATGGAAGGTTTGGGATGATAGCTGTCATGTTACAAAGCGCGGGAAGTTAAAAATATTGGATTACAAAATTAGAAGTATAGGGCCCAGTTATCTCTAGGTTCCAGTTAACCAACTTGACCTTACCTTACTGCTCCGGAATCATATCTAATAAACAATATGGTTTTTGTGCTGGAAAATCGACAGAGTTAAATTAAGTCACTTATATCAACTTCTTGTTAGTAGTAAAAAGGTTTACAATTCTATAACTATAAAGCCCTGTATTAATTCCTGAATATAACCCTATCGGTGACATATGGTTTTTTAGCTAGCGTTCGTGAGAAACGACACAAAGACTGTTTTTCCCAGAAGTAATAAAACGGCGCCTACGAGGCGGGACACGCTGGGATGCTGTTTGAATTCGAAATAAAAATTTGAATATAATATGTAATATATAAGAATTATTTAAATTAATTATCAACCCCCGGTTGTCGGATTTCACTATATATCACACAAAGATTGGTACGTTTTATAAAATTAAATTGAACTATTTGTAGCATTTTGTCATCGATTCCCAAAGCGTCAGTTCCAGTTTGAATACGTCTCCTTAATTCATCTTTTGTATCTACTGGTCTAGAATACACAAGGGTTTTCAAAGTTTCCCAGAGAAAGTAATCCTTTGGGGTCATATCAGAGGATCGAGCTGGCCAATATGCGGGTGCTTCATTGCCTCTACCTATCCATCTATTTAGATACTGTTCGTTGAAATAATTAAGTACGTTTAACGTTTGAATGTGGAGGAGCACCGTCATGCATAAACCACATTCCTCTTCGAATTTCCAAGGACAGGGGATCAAATAGGTTTGATAATTCGTTTCGCCATTTAGCCGAGGTGGTAAAGTGACAGGACCAATTATAAAAATGTCTGTAATTCCTGTTCACACATTGATCTTAAACTCTTGCTGATAATGGGTACTTTAGTAGCACTAGGATTTTCCTCACCATAGATATGTTCATTGTGCAAATTAGTTATGCCACTCCCCGTGAAACAGGCTTCATCTGTGAATAAAATTCTTGTAAAGTTCATATCTTGATCTGTGTTCTTGAATAAACTGGCAGAAATCTAGGCGTGGTTCAAAATCTTGGGTAAAAGATCTTGTACCCGTTGAACATTAAATGGGTGCAGTAGTTGTTCTCTGGTCACCCTATTAACTATATCTTTGCATACTCCTAGCTTTAAGCCCAATCGCCTGCTGCTGAGTTCAGAATTTTCTTCAATCCAATTTAGAATATCTTCCTTAACCTCTGCAGTTCTTACCGTATGCGCACGACCATAATTAATGGCAACAGGGGCAAACCTACCCGTTTCACGAAGACGTCTTTCAATTGCCGCCATGGTTTTATAGTTTGGTAAGCGACGATTCGGAAATCTTTCTCTGTATACTCTGCAAGATTCTAAATCATTTATTTGGAAGTATTCATAAATCGGTAATTTCTTCATACGACCATGACTACAACAAATTTGAAAATTTTTGACAATTCAAATATATGCTTGAATTGTTTTTTTTTTTTAGATGCGATTTGACACTAGCCAATTTTTAGTTACAATTATTTTAATTTAATGCCTTCGCTTCAAATTATGTTAAATTATCACAATAGTTTAGACTTGGCCATACACGAAGTTCATTTTTTAAATCGAGATCTCTCAAAAACGGCTGCTCAAATCAACTCTTATCATGTTTACGTTTTTCAATTAAAAGACTTTGGAGAACAAGAATTTTTACTTAAAAGTTAAATACAGGAGCGGCTCAAAAAAGAGAGCAGATTTTAATTTTTTACCCCACAAAACCCCTCTAGCCATATATTGTGAAAAACTAAAACCAAATTGAACTTTTAACACTCTGTATTTCCGAAATCATCCAGTTTTGGACTGAGGTAAGTTGGGTTAAGCATCATATTTAAGCCTTAGGAATATGTGGTAGCATTTTCTTGCACCTTTTAGAGACATACCTTCTTTCGATCATTCTCATCTCTACGCATAGTGCAATTTTGTCAGAAGAAATAAAAACCTTCATTGTTATCTTTGTCTCTATACTGTACTAAAAATTTGCGTTTCAGGGTAATTCTTTGTCTAATTCTGTTGCACTAAAATTTAACTCCATTGAATTTTTCCCACAAAAACCATATTACTTTTCAGTTATGATGCCTGAGCAGTCATGTGTAATGTAGTCAGTTATAATGCATTGGATAATTTTAGGCATTGTTCTGAAAATTAAGATGGGTGATAATTCTTAACGTCAGATTTGCTACCCGATGTGTATATTGAGATGACATAAGAAAGTTTCCAACAATCAGGAAACTCTTCTGTGTCGATTGATTTTTTGAAAATGGGAATGAAGGTTAGACCGAGGAGTGGACAGTATGAAGCTGCAATACCTTGGTATGATGGGAGGAATAATGCTATGAGCTGGCTCTTTTTTTATATCCACGTTTGACAATTTATCATAGATGGTTGAGATTGGGATGTAGTAGGTATAAGGAAACATTTAGTTCAGATTTGATTTGATCATCGTTTAAATTTAGGATATGTGTGGTGTAAACTGAAAAAATGTCTTTCAAACAAATTTGTTACTTCACTACCACAACATGCAAAAGAGTAATCCAAATTAATTTTATTTGGTATGCTATTATTTGCTCTTTTACTACTTATAAAATTCCAAAATGCTTTAAAATTAGTTTTACCAGAGGTTTCAACAGAATATATTATAATTCGAATATCATTCTCTAGCTAGAAGGTTCCTCCCCCTTCAATAACTCTTTTAAACATCAAGAGGAGGCTGTAGGTGTATACACACTGGGTAGGAGGAGAAAATTAAAGATATTGTTTTTAGAGTTACTTTCCTTAATGTTCTCTTTTAAAATTGTATGGCATACTGTTCGATTCTTAACATTGCTGTATAATACGTAATTTTAAAATTTGTATGTTTAGCTGCAGCGAGGGCAAAAATTCTTCCCGATCTTTTGACAAGAGCAGAGCTCTTGGCGTCACAAAACCCGGACAGGAAGCTTAAAGAAACCGAAGAACAAGAAGATTGTGTGAATCCGCCCCCAACACCAGAGACTGATGGTTATGAAAACAGCAGAGATGGCATGGAGGGATCACCTTTGCCTGTAATTAACGGCAACGATTCTTTGGAGAGTTCTAGAGGAAAATTGCAAACTTATGAGGATGATTTTCTCGATCTTGGATGTGCTGACGATATGGATTTGTTTTGAATATAAATATTAAGATAAGAATTATTTGTAAGAAAAATATTCTTATTTATAAGAAGGAATAATATTACAATTAAAACTGAAACTTTAATGTTATAATTTTGTTTTTTATTCACTTGATAATATTAAAAAAAATATTGGATTTGTGCTAACGAGCTATTTTACCTATAGTAGAGAATACTCCTTTTCACCTCTACATTGTTTAGTAATTTTGTCATTCATGATTTGTGAATGTGGTGGTTTATATAGGTAAATAAGTAGAAGTGGATACAGAAACGTTTTTGAATTCAAACCATCAATTTCTATTGCTCGTTTAAGCTTTGATTTCTTTCCTATCGTTTCCAGTCACGTTCTTCTAGTTCCTAAAGCAACTCAACCACTTTTAAATCACGCAGTTTTTTTAGTAATTTACACCCACTATACATCATCCTGACTTCAGGCGCCAATGTAAGGTTCATTTATTTACATTAATACTCTAATTTATTTTATAACCTTACATACTAATTTATATTATCAATTTATATAAAAATGTGGCCAACTCGAATTGGCTTTCATTTCTTAAAGAAAAACCAAAAAAACAGCCTTTATTATCTTTCTCCTGGAAACCACAACTCAGTAACCAGATCTGACCAATAGTTCTACAGGATTCATAAATCATTAAAAAATTAGTTGAAAATATTTATCTAGAAACAACTTAATGAAAAAGATTTCATATTTTATAAGAAAAATTAAAAAAAAATGATTATTATCTTCGAAATCTGACCAAAGATATGGAGAATCCTTAGATAAAAGAGACCAGAGATATAACATACACCGGTTTTAAACCTGCGCAAATGTTGCCAATTTCTAAAGAAGGGTTAACGGAGTGGGGGAACTGGGCGGCGACACGCGGCGACCCGAACTCTGTGACAGGGACCGGACTTTGTTTATTAGCATCTTAATGAACTATTAGGTTTATTTAAAAGGTGTTTAATCGAATTTTGTATTATGAAATAAAATTAACGTGATTTTTTAATATCAAACAGATGCCACGACATTTTATGTAAAGAGAAGACCTTTTATAGAATATTTCGTTAGCGTTTATTTACTACGGACTTTTCTGCAAGAGATTACAGTAAAATGTTGAAATAGAATATATTGTTAATAGAGCAAAAAATGTTACTCATTGTCTACGAGTATATATAAAAATAGCATGTGCGCAGGCTAATACTGCAAATCTACCCTTATGAGTTGAACATTAATTTTTTCTACGGCTATTACATATTATTAAAAATTAGTCAAAATGAGAAAATGCTGTTTTGTATTGTAACCTCAGAAAAAAGTATATTAAGGCTTCTTTCTTTAAGAATATTAATTATTATAAAGGATGAGTCACATAAAACTCTAGAAATGCATATGTCTGAAACCAGATAACATTTTAAAATTTAAATCTATTAAAAGTCATTTGGTCGCTAGGGATGAGTGATTATCGAAATAAATTATCGATCATTGAAAATAATCGATTATTTTCGATCAATCGATTATTTTCAAACAATATATTTTTTGTCATTTCCTTTAAAATCGACTACTTGATTATCTTTAAAAAATCAAAAATAATCGATTAATTAAAAAGCCAATTAACCGATAAATCAGTGTTTACAAAATATAATATAAATAGAATTATCGTTTATTTTAAATAATCGATTATTTTCAAATAAACCATTTTTTTTTTCGTCCATGGAAACAGATTATTCGATAATCTTTGAAAAATCGAAAATAATCGATTAATCAAAAATAATCGATTAATTAAAAAGTCGATTAACTGATAAATCGATTTAAAAAAAAACAGAATGATCGATTATTTTAAATAATTGATTATTTTCGATCAATCGATTATTATCAATAATCTATTTTTATTGTATTTCCTTTAAAATCGTTAATTCGATTATCTTTGAAATACCGAAAATAATCGATAATTCCAAAATAATCGCCTAATCGAAAATAATCAATTAATTAAGAAGCCGATTCTATGATATATAGATTATTACGAATAATCTATTTTATTGTATTTCAAAAATGATCGATTAATTAAAAAGTCGATTAACTGACAAATCGATTTTCAAAAAAAACAGAATGATCGATTATTTTAAATAATCGAATATTATCAATAATCTATTTTTATTGTATTTCCTTTAAAATCGATAATTCGATTATCTTTGAAATACCAAAAATAATCAATAATTCCAAAATAATCGCCCAATCGAAAATAACCAATTAATTAAGAAGCCGATTCTATGATAAATCGATTTTCCAAAAAATAAAACGAATTATCTATTATTTTCTAATAATCCTTTTTTCATATTTCCTTTGAAATTGATTATTCGATTATCGAAAATAATTGATTATTAAAAAGCTGATTATCCAATAAATCGATAATTTTAAAAAAATAACCAAAATATCGATTATGTAAAATAACCGATTATATTCAATCGATTATTTTCATAAATTATCTTTGAAAAATCAAAAATAATCAAATAATTAAAAAACCGATTAAACGATAAATCGATTATTTTGAATAAATCTACTTTTTTTGTATTTCCTTTAAAATCGATTAATACATTATCTTAAAAAAAACGAAAATAATTTATTAAAAACAGCGGATAAATCGATTTTCATTAAAAAATATCAGAATTATCGATAAATCGATTATTTTTGTAACCCCTATCGGTCGCTTGCTTTTATCTGAGCATTTAGCTCCAAAATTTAGAGATTCGGATTTTTTGATCCAGTTATCTTTGAAATCGCATTCGATTGTGTAATAAATAAATATTGCTAAATTTTGGATTTTTTTTTGGTAAACGAAAATTATGTTCGAGTTGTTTAGGGGTTTGTAATGTAACATTTTATTAACGTGACTAAGGGTCGATTCCACCGTTGTGTTAAACGAAGTTTAAAATGACATTTTTACATTAACACTCATTTTAATCTCCGTTGAACACAACGGTGGAATCGGACCTAACTCCTGTAACTTTAGTATTTTTTTTTGCTTATACTAGATTACTTTGTTTTAAGACTGAAAATTCAATGTCACTTTCGATTTGACCGCAAATAAGATGAACCTTGAAATTTTAAGTAGGTCATCCTGTATTTCATCTAATATTCTTATAAAAATACCTTATAAAAATAAAATTTAGCTAGCAACTATGATTCTTTACCTCTTATTTATCTACCAAAAAGGGCTAAAAACTACCTTTAGAAAACATTCTTATAAAACTACTTTTTAAATACAAAATTTCGTTAGCAATAATGCCTATTTACTATTTATTTAAATTAAATGTTCAAAATTTTACCCTTTTGTAAATTTATGTAAGTAATATGAAATCTGATTTCTGATTCTTAATATTTATTGAAACCCCTTAATGCGGATCTGAAGTATTGAGCCCAGAGAATCATGGCGCTTTATGTCAAAACGTTAATAAATATTTACCGCTGAAAACGAATATATTCATAACAGTAGTACTTGTATTATAAGTACATACAATTTTTCAAGATACATCGTGACATTTTGAACTTGAAATTGAATAACTAGAACACTTTAAATTGCTAAAATACCAACAAATAAATCAAAAAACAGCTGTCAATGGTGATTAAACTCAGGTGGAGGTGATCGCTGAATGGAAATCGGAGCAATTCGGGTGGCGTCGTGCAACAATGATTTTCAATTGGTGGGTTACTTTGGCTTAAAATAGACAACATGCGCAGTGTGCAATGTTACATCTTCGGTCTCTTTAATCTAAGGGAGAATCTGACTGTTCGATTTTTCTGTAAGTAACTTTTGCTTAATCATGACAGAACCAATCACAATTAACTTACCATTGTTAACTTACTTTTGAGATTTGTATCAAATTTGATTTTTGATATACAGGGTGATATGTTAATTACTCAAATTAATTATAAAATTCATATCTATTTGTAAATCTTTTATTTCAAATTTTTAAATATTAAATAAGTTGACACACTAGGTTGGATTGGGAATGTACCGCGCTTTGTACTGTTTGGAGACAAACCCAAAATTTCGTACACAGTTGAATGTTAAACTCTATAAAATGCCAAACTAATAATTATTATTTTAAGTTGGTTCTGTGCAATGCCAGTGGATATTATTATTCATTCGTTTGTGTCAGGTATTCGCTCCGTGCGCGACAGCAGCGCCAATTTGTTTTGGTATTAAAGGACTATTTCTGCCTATACTGACAAACACAATTTTTAATAGAATTCGTAAATAAAAAGTATATATGTTAGTTTTAATAAAAGTATATGGATTTGTAAAATAAGTGAAACATTAATTTATTATTATTATATATTTTTATTGCTTAAGCTAAAAAACTAGGTATAATCAATAAAAATCAATAATAAAATATAGGCAGGCAACAGTATTTACTGGAGAATGTATGAGAAGTTGCCTAAGTCTAATTAGTTGTTATTGAAGAATTAGCCTATTCTGTCAAAAAAAAATACCATTTAATAATAGCGTGAAGTTAAAATGTATAAAAAAGGATTGTTATTTATATTTTCATTTTTGTTCGAAAGGAAAACATAGAATGAATGATTAAAACTGGTTTCCCATCAGTAAGTCACAAAATTGCATTCCAGTCACATATTATAATCAAAGCAAGAAATCTTGAAATCTAGTCCTTGCTGAATGAACATTTAAGATTAAAGGGATATTAAAGAACATCGTAAAATGATCATTTCTTGTTTATTTAAAACCTTTTAAGTTTCTGATGTCTACTATTTCCAGCATTAGTGTTATTATCACAAAAATAAAGGTAATTTTTCTTCTTATTGTACACCAATCCATTTATTTCTTTGACTTAATTTCCTCTTTGCTAGTGAAATTTTTTATATAAGTTTCATTGTTTTTTTGGCTAGTATTTGTACAATTTTCAACACAGCAACTCCGGTTGCTTATTGTGTTGTTTTTACCTACTTTTTTGAAAAAAAAGTAAAATGTATACGTGTATTTGATATGGCCAAAATTACAAAATATCGCCCTAAAATGCACGAATTATCCGCAGCTAGCGCTAGTATCGCTTTTGCTTCCCTTTCCACGGAGCGAATAG